TAGAAAATCGAGGATTCAACCAAATTCAAAAATTTCTTCGCCCAAATGCTTCAAATAAAGTCTAGATTTGTTTTAGCGAAAAAAACATTTTGGGGCTAGGTGCACTTTAATTAGCCTCCGATTCAACAGAATGCACGAAGTACTAAAATAAAGTTTCGGTCGAAAGCAGTGATGTTAATTCCCTGTAATGCACGATTTCAACTTTAAACTTTGTTCAAACGTAAAATGTTTGGAGACCAAATACCATACATCAAACATCGTTTGATGACCAAAAATTTTCCCGTTTCTTAACCTTGTTTGATCTTGTTTGATCGTGTTTGATAAAATTTCAATGTCGACAAACACTTAGGGTGCGTTTCTTTAAGAAAATTCAAGATTGGATTCTTAAATCCGAAAGAATCCGAAAACGGATTTTGCGTTTCTTACTAAACAGATCAATCCAAGATCTCTCGGATCATGGCGCGTCAAAGGAACCGAAGAATCCACTCCCAGAGTGGATTCTTCGTGAGAGTTGACGAGGGCGCAGCCCGAGTCAACCATCACGAATAGAAATCGAGGCGAATAATCTAATTGTTTTAATATATTTCAGTATACGAGTAGCTCAGCCAATCAGATTGTAACATTTGCATTGATATACTAGTAGAATTCTACCTACAAGTGAAAGCGCAGCCCGAGTCAACCATCACGCATAGAAATCGAGGGCGAATAATTGTTTTAGTATAAATTTACTAGTCGTTCAAAACTTTATCTAAATCCTCTTCACAGACACATAGAAAACGCCAAGAGGCGGTCGTCATTTTGTTAACAAGGGCACACTGCTACGCTACTCACTATCTATCACAGATTAGTATAAATCTACATACCGCTCTATCACGAATGCTGTTCTCTGATTGGCTACGCTACTCACCATATATTCTGTGATAGATAATGAGTAAACGACATACCTAACTGACAACACGTCATGTGGCTATCAAATTGTAATTCGTATGCTCCAATAATACAGTTCTACTATGAAATGCACCTTGTAAAAACGTACGACAGCCAAAATTTCATAAGCCTCAAGTCAATTAAGGTAGTACGCATATCTCAATAACTGCCTAGAGTTCCGATAGTAGCGACCCTCGTTACTTTCGGAATAAGCAGCCTTTGGGGGTCGCTACTTTCGGGAAGTCGTTACTTTCGGGGAACAAAAATCGTTTACAAGTAGAGCTAGGCTCGATTACCAGCCGCTGTTCTGGGAAGGAGTTCCGCAGGGAGGAATGTAGACCGGACTCGAGAAAGCGGCGGAAATCGAGCCTAAAATAGAGCTGGCGCGAGCTTTTTTTTCCGAAATAAAAAATGAACAACGGAATTTAAAAAAGAACAACATTTTATTTGCATTCCATATGTATAGATTGTGTTTCATTCATAATACGAAGGTAACAATGATAAATACAGCAATAAAGGGTCGCTACCTTCGGAGGGTCGCAACTTTCGGGATTTACTAGCGGCCACAAAAAATTGACGTTAATTTCGGGGGGTCGCTACTGTCGCTACTAACTTACTACAGTGTAACTAACTAACTAACTAACTCATAGGTGTACATGGAAGCACAATTTTTCATGTGATATATCAAACACGAAAGACCCTGTTTGACCACATTTCCAGACAACGAGAAGAGAGTTGAAAATGCGACGCGCAGCAGGGTATTTTTGACGAACTTCGACGTGTTTGGAAATATGGTCAAACACTGTCTTGAGAGTTTGATATATCTTCTCAATCGAAACTAAAACTAAGGAGAAAACGGAGAAATAAACTCGTAAAAATCTATGCTAATTAACATCAAATATCCAAACATCGTCACGGTCATGATTTCCTTTGTTTAAACTTGATGAATTATTAATGAGTTTGAAAAAGCTTTCAAGAAAGGAAGTCACATCAGTGATAATGGTTAGGGATTTCTGATTAGCACAGATTTCCTAACGATTCTATTAATTGGTTCCTTTTTTCCATAGTTTTACTTTTGATTGAGAGGATATATCCCTTTCAGATAGTATTTCGTCACAGTTTTGAAATTGAACACGTCGCATTTCAGTCGTCGACTACGCATCGTTTCCTGACACTCGTGTTGGATATTCTATATATGAACTGAGCACTAATACGAAACGCTACAACAAAACTACGCCTAACTACGGGTTGCATATCTTTCTGCTGTCACTCGAAGTGGTACAAGATGTTGCCCATGGCGAGTGCAAAGGTAGTAAGTACTACAGCACTGAACAAGATGTGATTTCCCTCTTGGCCCGATGCATCATTGTAGCTAGCAGTTGGGGTCGTTGGAAATTTTCCTTTAACAGTTGAAGTTCGCGACCCTGCAAGTGAAATCACACAAACAGGAGAATCGCATCTTAAATAGAATAAAGTGGAGTAAAGAAGTCTTCTCGTCTTACATGCCGTACTCTGAGCATACGGCACAGAGGGTCTATTATAGGGGGTCGTACATTTCGCAAACCACCATATTTTGTTCCTTTGAAAACCGTAGACAGCTTTCGTTTTCTCCAAAAAACCGAAACCGTCTCACTACATGTAGTAGGACGGTCGATATTTTAACAGTGCTTGTTAACACATTCTTTACGAAATGTTAGCTCAATAATCGTATTTCTACTCACAAAGACCACAAGATCTCAAGAACAGAACGAATTGTTTCTGACTCCATTCACTGAGGAACCAGCGAGCAAAACGTTTTGACGACGTCCAATGGGCTGTTCACAAACACAAAAATTGTTCGGAATGTTTATAACGAAGGATAAATATACAAGTTTTGAGGGTTCCCTGTTTGAATGATCGTCACAAAAACACGCAAAATCAGAAAACCGGGAGCTAAATTTATGATTTCCCGCCACCGCACGACAATTTCTCAACTGTAAACCATTAGATAAATGTGAATGTACCCGCAAACCGGAACCCAAAATTGGCTTAAACCGCCAAAAGGCCTGAATGTAATAGACTCTCGATACAGTCATGATACATGAACGTAAGTCATCGGTGCTCAAAAAAAGAAAAAAAAAAAAAAAAAAGAACAAAAAAAAGAACAAAAAAGAAAAAAAAAAGATAACCATGATCCAAGAGATGTAAGGAGTGATTTAGATGTTACCACAAGCATAATACTTAAAACTAGCATCTTTCGATGCATAATGCATACTATTATGTGAGTTTCCGCTCCATGTATACTCAAAAGGTCAATAATTTAATCAAATGACTTAAGTCAGGTTCCTCGAGAGCCCGTACTAGCTAAAAATGCACAGACCGCTCTCAGCTGAATCGGAATTGGAAATGCATTGGCAAAGTTCCTTGCGACAAATTTATATGAGGTTTGGCTAATGATCATGATCATTTGCCGAAAAAGTTAATAAATAAAATAAACAAGCCCTCTGGCAAAAAATTCCGTAACTGTGTTATTTGCCATCACGACTAAAACATATAAACATGATATTAATCCTTCAAACTCACCTCCACTTCCGGGGTATGGCAGGGTTGGCTTTTGAGTATTACACTTGCTGCCGGTACAACACACAACTTCACATCCTACAACGTTCCACTTTTGATCTTCTTTAACCGATGGCAGCACAAGCTGTCTTCTCATCTGAAAAGAAAGAAAGATAAAAAATTATAGCCTCAGGCAATACACCACCTTTCAGCAATTGTGGTCAGGCTTATTTCAATCGCTTCACAAACATGGTCAGGCAAGGGGCGGATCCAGGATTTTTCAAGAGGGGAAGGGGGCTGGCTGGTACTTTGGGGCAGCAGAATCAATGGGGCACGTCCCCAAAATATTGCAAATTGAGAGTCGTTTAACTAGAAATAGTAGCAACGCCACAAAGCAGAAATTACAGTGAGGTACCTGTCCAGAGAGTTTGCCGTTATTTCTGCTATAATATTCACAATCTTTTGAATTTTTTTTTATGTTTTGCCTCTCCAAAACGGGGGTGGCTAGGCACCCATCCCCCCCCCCTCCCCCTAAATACGCCCCTGATGGGTCGGGATACTTGAATTACAAACAGCTTCTCTTTACGCCAGCGGTATACATGTGAATGGCTATTGGTGAATAAATGAAATGACAAAAATGTTCGGGACTACTCGCATGACAAAGGATCGCGTCCGAAGGTCCAACAAGTAATGCTTCCAGATACTCACTTAATGTTATCAGAACTGTAGACCAACACCGTCAAAATAAACTAACAACTGAGAATTCCTGATTTCCTACATGTCAACCTACAGTGGCTAGTAAGTTTAGATAACATCATCAAAACTACACTCGCACCCAAAGGTGTCTGTTCAGCAGCCTATTGTCTTCGTTAGGTCCCTGCTACCCAAGGGATCGACTTCTTTGGGCCTGTTTCAAATCTGTATGGAATTTTTACATATGTCTTCTTATAATCACCTGTGCAGTCAATGCATCCACGAATAGCTCCTTCTCGGGTATATCCTTGATCCTGACTCCGATATCGTGTCACCGCAGAAAAACAGTGCCTTGTGCCAAGCGAATCTCCGTCGTCTTTACAAACTTGGGTTTGAAGCCGAGTGTCGCATGTTCCTCCAAGGCTAGCACGGCAATAGTGACACTGCAAACTAGGCCCAGAAGCTGTCAAAAATAAATAGATTGAAAGCTGTTACTCAAGGCTGGACGTAAAAGAAGGTATGCCACTATTCTTAGTCTTTTTTGCGTGTGTGACGAGCAAAATTGTTTCCTTATTGGAGGAAATCCTCCAATATTGATTTTCTCCGGTTGAAAACACCGAACAAAATTGAAAGCATGACCAATTTTTTTTAAGATGCACCGTACGTGAAATAGCAGCCTTGTTTTTTCTCCAAAAGGGCAAAAACTCGGTCCGTTTAACTTACAATATGGATGTTGAATTCGGTTCGTCAGAAGTATGTGTTACCTGGGGGTAAAAACACAGGTATGGCGGAATCTTCCAACAGGACTGGGGTCTGGGTGTTACACTTGTTTCCAGTGCAGCACTCGATTTCACATTTTTTCTAGGGACCATCCTTTACGTGCTTTAAGAGCGCCACCAATAGCCGCACAAGCCGCCTTTTTGTCTGCGACAATCAATTAAAACAGAAGCAAAAGAAAAATTGAGTGAATACTTTTCAGAGGTAACCCGAGAGGGAGAGGCTTATACAGCCAGTTATCCGACTATCATAACAAAACAAAACAACAGCAACAACAACAACGACAAAAGGGTTTTTGGAGGTCTAAGTCCCTTCTGGTTGATATAGTCCAATGCCACAGATCGTAGTGTCGTGGCAGTTAGCTCTTTCATGTCGTCACTTGCAAGGTGGGGCTCGATATTCCAGTATGCTTTTTCAAAGGTCGCCATGACATCGATAGGAGATACTTTCTGGGAAGTGCAAACTTCAAACCATGACAAAGGACCAGTTTCTGGAAGAAGGATAGCTCGTACGAGGAGATGTTCATGATATGTCCCTCAATATCCGTATCTCTGTATAGTAACCTACCAATCTTGCGGGTATGGGTGTTGATAACCTCTTGTTGAAATTTCCTACTAAGGGTCGTCATTATTTGAAAGATGCTGATATAACGCGCAAGGGAGCAAGTCGCTCGCATTTCACAGTAGATGGCGTTGATCTCCCTGATCTCGCATTTGAGGGCAGCGCTCTCTTTGGTTCGTAACTTAAGTTCCTCATGGCCGACATCCTTGGCAAAGGCTGCAGACGATTTCTTCCACTTATATTTCCTTCCTTTGTCATCTTGTGCAAAGGTCGGTATGAGATCGAAGTTTTGGCAAAGGCGTAGAAACTCAATAGATCCATCGCTAAAAAATTGTTTTTTTGCTTATCTGCTCGAGTCTTCGAAACAGAGAAAGCTGATTATCTCGTTTTAAAGTCTTGATCAATAACTATTTCTTAAAACATAAGCAGGCGAATATTAACGTTAAAAGACGACGTTTCGGCGTCATCGTGACACCATTCTCAAGGCAAAGTGAATAAATAATGCGAAGATTTGATTTCTATTCAGTCTCTACAAATTAGCATAATAACAAAGGATCACAAGTTCTTCAAGTGAATACCTTTGGGCGAATCGAGTCCGTTTGCACGTTTAGGGATGGTTTAAGTTTTCTTATTAAAAGCATCTCCTTAATTAGGTAATCAAATTTGTTAGAACATTTAGTATGCACGTGAAATTGTTCTGAAAGACAAGGAGGTACGTTCAAGTTATGTTCGCTCAAATAATGTTTTATCCTTTTTATGTTCGCTCAATTATTGGTCTATCCTTCTTCCAGAAACTGGTCCTTTGTCGTGGTTTGAAGTTTGCACTTCCCCAGAAAGTATCATCTCCTATCGATGTCATTGGCGACCTTTGAAAAAGCATACTGGAATATCGAGAAGGGACTTAGACCTCCAAAAACCCTTTTGAAGGCCATCGATTAGGTGGGAAATCGAGATGACATAGTTGTAACAACAACAAAGTAACAAAAATAAAAACAAAAGGTAAAAGACAATGAGTGAATCGCGTTTTTTTCGACCAGTTTTATTTTGTTACGATAAGTTTTGTTTTGCAGTATCCTCTGCACTATTTTATGATGTTGAATCAGTCCATAATTATAAATAGCGCCAATATTAGCTTTTCGAATAGAAATACCCACCCTCTTCCAAAAATAGCAACCCTCGGGAAAAGTGGCACTTGGGAAAGGTGCCTAAAATCCAAAAGTAACTACCAAATGGTAAGTGCTTGAAATGTCGCTTATCGTACCTGTACAATCAATGCATCCTCGGTAAAAAGCATCAAGAACATTACCAGACTGGTCCCTATATTTACCAACCGCAGAAGCACAGTGAGTCTTGCCGAGAGAATGTTCACTTGTACCACAATACTGAGTTGCTTGATTCCTATTACAGCTGGCTACATCACCCTCTACGCAAGCATTACACTCGGCTGTTAGAAATGAAACGAAGTAATTGTGTGTCTAATAACCATGCTGAACAGACCATATTTCTGTGTGTATTAGGTAAAGTCTGCATGCGAGCCAAATGATCGTGACTCATCAGGGCGGTGCTTATCTCCAGTTTCAGTGGCACGAAGCAACAAGAATATTCCTACTCCCCACTGGATGGGATGCTAGTCCATCGCAGGGTTGCCCCCAGCATTAAATTGGCCGGTACCTATTTATATCTTGCCCAAGAACACAATACCAGATCCCCGGCCAGGGTTCGAACCCGGACCACTCGATCCTGAGACCAGCACATTAATAATAGGACACCAGGCCTCCACTCTGTGTGTATTAGTGCTCACAAAAGTGAATGAAGCAAGTGTAAGAGAGTTAATCCCCCATGTAGGCCTTATTTCCAAGGTAGTCTCCCTAAGTTATTTTTAGATCTCAATCGGTTTCGGAATCACAGGAGGGTCTAGAAATAGCCAATCCTGTGACGCGTAGTTTGTTCACGTGGACAGCCCAAGTGGCTTTAACGTATTTTTCATCTTCCACGAAAACACCCACGCGAAGTGCGTACTAAAATATTATCGCTGAAAGAACTGGATACCATGAACTTCACACACTTATTTATTTTGTTAACGAACCACCCGTATTTTTTTGTATTACCTGTTGGTGCGAACACAGTAAAAGCAGCTTTTGACAGGGTTGGGGTCTGTGTGTTACAGTTGACTCCCTGGCAGCACTCT